CGGCCGCCGCTCAACCCGCCGTCCCGGCTCCTCCCGAAGTTTCCCCGCCCGGCTCCCAGGAGCTGCGCCGCCCCGGTGCGCCGGCAACCACACCCCCGCCCGGCTCCCGAGGCCACACCCCGTACCCTGTGGTCACGCCTCTTAGGCTCCCGAGGCCGCGCCCTCATGCTTTAGAGCCACGCCCCGTCCGGCTGCAGAGGCCACGCCCCTCCTGGCCGGGTTCCGGCTCCCCCCACGTGGCCGCAGGTGAGCGCTCCCGGCTGCAGTTCTGCAGAACCCGGGAAGTTCGGTCGTTGAATGACTGTGCACGCCGGAGCTGCGAGTGTCCTCCCAGCCTCCTGGAAACGGCAGATTCCTGCGCGACTTGATCACCCTCCCTCTCTTCTCCCTACTCGCCTGCTCTAGCTAAAGTTTGGGGGAGGGCGGGAGCAGGGGTCTTGTAGGACGGAGCCCTGGCAACCCCCAGGCCCGTGTACGCCCTGTAGCAACAATTTCTGCTGGGCCCCAGCAGCTCGCCCCTCCTGATAGTTGGTAGAGATAAGGGGCAGGAACCGGGGGAGGAATAACAACTGGATTGAGTTTCTTATTCAAACGAAAACATCCTTTCTGGTCATTAGTTTGAGGTCCTGTATTAGATCCTTCTTTCTAGAGAAGGCTCATTCCTGAAAGATTCTGACCAAGGTGGTTATGATTTTAGAGGCCATTTGATACAGGGGAGAGTGGGCTAGTTTCAAAGTCCCAGGACAATAGAGTACTAATTAACTTAAATCTGCTTTATAAATGTTCCCTTCTACTGTCAGCTGCTCAAGATCACTTTCAGGGGTGGTGACATGGTAGGGGATAAGGAATCAGGGAATTCTGCCTCCTCACATAAAAAAAAAAGTTTGGGGCTGGGAAGGTAGTTCAGTGACAGAGTGCTTGCCTTGCATGCATGAAGCCCTGGGTTCGATTCCTCAGCACCACATAAGCAGAAGAAAAAAAAAAATTGGAGCTGGTGCTGTAGCTCAAATGGTAGAGGGCTGGCCTTGAGCTGAAAAGCTGAGGGACAGTGCCCAGCCCCAGACTTCAGGCCCCACGACTGACAAAAAAATAAATAAAAATAAAAAGTTCTCATTTTTCTAGAATTATTCCAGTCAGCTTATCCTCTTTTAAAATGTCGTTTTTTTTCCTTCAAACCACTTTTTGCACCTTGGTGTGACTGGGTTGATTTAAATCCTAGTAATTCCTTTCACAGGTATTGATTGAAAGCAGACTGAAAATTTCAGCTGGATTCAGCTAGATTCAGCACACATTTCATTGGGGGAGGAGAAGGGTGAGAGAGGGTTAAAAAAAGAGAAAGTTTTAACTCCTAAAGTTGTTTTCCTCAAAACAACTCTGCAAAGTAGTTAGTACTATTTTGTGCCAGATTTATGCATAGAGCAGCAGCTGAGAGTAGCAATAAAAGACAAGACTGGGACTACTCTGGGCTGTTCCAAAGGTCTTCCTATAAATCTTCTGGGCTTCTGGGCTCGTTGCTCCATTGGCAGTCAGCCAGGCTCATTTGCAAAATAGTGGGAGGAAGAGCTGGACCAAAGATGACTGGAAAAGCAAGGTGGTGCTGTACACCTGCAATCACAGCACATATATGGGAGCTAAGAGGATCATAACTTGGAGGCCAGCCTGGGCTATATAGCAAAACCTTGCCTAAAACACACACACACACACAAGAATTGGGGCAAACCTGCTCTGCCTTCCTTCAGGCTTACACACACATCTAGCTTGCAAAATATGACTCACAACTCCAGCAGGGCCTTACAGTTCCAGCCTATTTTATATATGCTGTAGTAAAGGCTTATCCCAGCCACGGAGCTACTGAATGATTAGAAACCAGGAATTCTGTCTCTATTGTTCCACTCAGGCCAACCTGATCCCTGTCAGTGGCTTGTATGGGAATAGTTCAATTACAAAGGAAAAAAATGTTTCCTACTTCTATTATTTCTTTATTGAAAAGAGATTAGTTTTCATTAACACAATCCTTATTCAATATGCCAATCTATGAATGTGTAGGTAAAAGAATCTAAAGAACTTGTTTTTTATAGTCAGCTCAGCCAAAATAAATTATTTTGAATTCTTAGAGGAAAAATATGAAATGGAAAAATATATTTGAAGTGTTTCCACCACATCCTAAGAATAATTTTTCATATTATTTTTGAGTTCTAATTTTGGTACTTGTCAGCACATCATCAGATCAGTCATTATAAAAAAGATGATTGGGAAAAAAAAGGATGATTAGGAAGGGTCAGGACTGTAATTCAATGGTAGAGCACCCTGAGTCTGATCCCTAGCACCAAAAAAAAAAAAGGAAATAATGAAGTAGAGGCACTACTTTTAAGTGGTGGGAAGTAGGATTGACATTCTACTTCCTAAAAGAAGCATAATAGGGCTGGGAAGGTGGCTCAGTGGTAGAGCGCTTGCCTTGCATGCCTGAGGCCCTGGGTTCGATCCCTCAGCACCACATAAGCAAAAAGAAAAAAGGCGGAAGTGGCGCTGTGGCTCAAGTGGTAGAGCGCTAGCCTTGAGCTGAAGAGCTAAGGGACAGCATCCAGGCCCCACAACCAGACCCCCCCCAAAAAAAGAAGCATAATAATCAAATTTCTATATTTCTCTTACAGCATTTTAATAAAAGCATGGGCCTAAAATTTGACTTGTGAAATTAGCATTTGTGGAAATTCAAACCACTGTCTTAAACAACTAGACATTTAGTTCAGTTTTGAAAGGAGCTATTGTTAAACACAAAATTGAATTTAGAAATGGAGTCTGTCACCAAAAATTGTCCACAAGAGCCACTTGATTTAGAGTTATAGTCTAGTAAGCTCATTTTTTTTGTCGGTCACGGGGCTTGAACTTTGGGCCTGGACACTGTCCCTCAGCTCTTCAGCTCAAGGCTAGTGCTATACCTCTTGAGCCACTGTGCCACTTCTGGTTTTCTGAGTGGTTTATTGGAGATGAGTGTCTCATGGACTTTTCTGCTCAGGCTAGCTTTGAACTGCAATCCTCAGAAATCAGCCTCCTGAGTAGCTAGGATTATAGGCATGAGCCACTGGCACCTAGTTATAAGCTCTTATTTCTATGTTACATATATCGAAAACTTAGTAAACTGTTGGTAAATGTTATAAACACACAAACATTTATCATTTTAATTACTCTGCACAGCTGATCATTTCCTTTAGACTAATGAAAAGCTGAGGCTTTATTACAATTTTGTATGTATGTGCCATTACCAGGGCTTGAACTCAGGGCATGGATGTTATCCCTTATTGTTTATCACCCAAGACTGGTGCTCTACCACTTGAGTCCTAGCTCCACTTCTGGCTTTTTGCTGGTTAATTGGAGATAAGAGTCTCGTGGATTTTCCTGCCCAGTCTAGCTTCAAACATCAGTCCTTAGTCCTCAGATCTCAGCCTCCTGAACAGAATTACAGGAGTGAGACACCAGCTTCCATACATATATCACATAGACAAGTATCTATATCATATATATATATATATAGCATTTTTAAAAATTGATGTGCCAGGGATCAAAATAACTCCACTCCACAAGCATCCTACCACTGAGCTACATCCCCAGATAAAAGTTTTAACCTGGCTTGCTCAAAAAATTGAGAAAGAAATCATTTCCTAATGTGATTATAGATTAAAAAGTTTGGCTCATATTCAGATTTCTTAAGTACTATATATCTAAGTTGACAAGTAATAGAAACAAATATAAAAAATGGAGGGACGGAAGAGTACAGCTTAGTGATAGCTTGTCCAGCATGTTCTAGGCCCTGAGTTCCGACACCATAAAAAAGAAAAGAAAATACTTTAGACATAGCCCATCCTTAGACTAAAAACATTTAAAAATAAAAATATTCCTTTGTCGGGGCTAGAAAGGTGGCTCAGTGGTAGAGCACTTGCCTTGCATGCATGAGGCCCTGGGTTTGATTCCTCAGCACCACATAAGCAAAAAGAAAAAAACTGTTAGTGGTGCTGTGGCTCAAGTGGTAGAGCGCTAGCCTTGAGCTGAAGAGCTGAGGGACAGCGCCCAGGCCCAGAGTTCAGGCCCCACGACTGGACCCCCCCAAAAAAAGTATTCCTTTGTCAACTAGTCTGATAAAGGTAATACATCACCAAAAAAATAAATGCCTGTAAATATTTTTAACACATATACACACACACATTGAAAAGCAAAGAAAGACTAGGAAGCAAATTTCCAACATGAATGACACAGAGTTGATATGCTTAAAATACAAAAAGCTGCCGGGCACTGGTGGCTCACGCCTGTAATCCTAGCTACTCAGGAGGCTGAGATCTGAGGACTGCAGTTCAAAGCCAGCCAGGGCAGGAGAGACCATGAGACTCCTATCTCCAATAAAAACCACCAGAAAACCGGAAGTGGCGCTGTAGCTCAAGTGATAGAGTGCTCTCCTTGAGCTGAAGAGCTGAGGGACAGCGCCCAGGCCCAGAGTTCAAGCCCCACGACCGACCAAAAAAAAAAAAAATACAAAAAGCTATGAAATCAGCCAGAACATTGAGCATCTTTAATAGAAAAATAAGCAAAAGACAGGGCAAGTAATCCATAAAGGGAAAATTCCAGAGCTGGATACCGTAGTGAATACCTGTAATCCTAGTTACTAAGGAGACTAAGATGATAATCTTGAGTTCAAAGCCCAGCCTAGGTGACATAGTAAGAAGTCACCAAAAGAAAGAAAAAAAAACATAGTCACTCATGCATTAAAGCATTCACACAGTCAACAAATACGTTACATTTATACATTTATGCAATATTAACATGCTGTCTGCCAGATACTGGTCTTAACACAAAGGATATCTCAGTGCACAAAACAGACTTTTTTTTTTTTTTTTGCTGGTCCTGGGGCTTGAACTCTGGGTTTGG